CTTTAGATTAAAATATTTAAAGTGATAGCTATTCTTTTTCATTGTTTTTGGTCAGACATTCTTCTATGTGGTATAGCACTGGTCTGTCGATGTGCTGTACAGAGGTAACTCGTGGTGGCTGTATGTTGAGCACTGTGACACTGATGTGTAAAATGCGATAATGGTTACCCATGGTGGACAGTGTTTGGTGGAGCTCCCTGATTAAAATAAGTTTGGAAGCAGGAGTGGCATCCACTTCGAAATAGCTTGCCTCTGGAAACCCTATGAACCTGGAGAAATGAAGAAAGTCATAGGGTCACTATGAGTTACCTACGACTCGATGGCATTTGACAACAACAATATATAATATATGCACACACATTTATGTTGTTATTTTTATGTGTCATTGAGTCACCTGCGACTCACAGCGAACAATGTACGCTCTGAAGCCTGCCCTGTCCTGAGCCAGTCTCATTGACTCTGATACATCTAGCCCCCACCCCATTGCCCCAATTACTGTCTATCAGTCCATCTCATCCAGGATCTTCCTCTCCTGCACTGACCCTCCACTCTTCCAAACATGATGTCCTTCTCCAAGGACTGGTCCCTCCTGGCCACATGCCTAGTAACAAGCTTGCAGCCTCATTTTTTTAATAAAGTCATAGCAAGTTCTAGAACTTTAAGAGATATTCTTTAAAGCATTTGATTTGTTTTCCCAGAACCACTTGTAGATTCTCATCTTTCTAATTAAGATTTCTTGGGGCTGGGTGGTTATCAGTGAAGACTTTACCCAGAGCTCCAGGGTATAAAGCAAATAGGGATCAAAGGAGGGGGCTTAGAGACCTTTCTTTGGACACCTCCCCAAAAGGCCCCCTAACGCCACTGTGCACAGGTAGCGAATCTCCCCTCAGTGCCGGGAATATGGATTTGTACATTTTAAAATATTCTATGTTATGCACCTCACTGACTTCTGAAACTTGTGTCTGTCTGCTTGCCAGGGTTTCAAGTGAAAATTTCTGTATCCTCTCAGGTAATTTGGCATCCTTCTCGTGTGCGTGGATCTTAACTGCTTTGGTCCCTGCACATGGATTAAAGATTTGCCTCTTTCTAGAGTTATCTGATTTCTACCATGACAACCAAAGCTTTTCAGTCATTAAAGTACTGACATAATGTTTCATTGGATTTTATCTGCTTCATTTGCCTTTCGAATATTATTTTTGGAATATTGTCAATTGTAATTATTTTCGGTGACTATTTTCTTGGGCTTGAACCAACTGAGTGAAATAACACGCTTGGCTTTTTTTCAGTAACCAAACCTATAACATTTTATTATGCAAAAACATCTCTATTTGCTGGCATCACCTTTAATAATATCAACATTTCCCAGGCAGCAGTGCATTTTTTAATTAATAGAACGAACAGATGGAGCATGGAATTTTTTGTTGTTATGTCGGTCTTTATAAATTCTTCCGCTGAATTCAGGGCTTTGAGAAAGGAAAGTCACTAAGTCTAATTATTGAGACTATGTTTTTTACTTTGAAAATGGGCTTTGCTGATTTTACAGATGTATCCCATATATAGAATCATTTCTTGAATTTCTTTTTTTTAATATTCTTTTTTATCATTTTTTTAAACTAGTTGTTGCTGTTTTGCTGGAGAATTTTGATTTTATTATTTTTTTGTGTGTGTGCCGTCAAATTGAATCTGACTGGTACAGGAGGAGATTGTCCCTCCTTCTCCAGCAGAGCATCTGGTGAATTTCTAAATTAAGCATTTGCACTTTGCATCTCCAGAGATAGTATTAATCAGAAGATATTCACCACTTTTGTTCTTAGGTGTCATTGAAGTGACTACAGCTCACAGCGACCCTATAAACAGCCGACCTGCACCTTACCCTGGGTTGCACCCTTCTCATGACTCATACGCTCGGGCCCCTTGTGACAGTTACTGTGTCAATAGATCTCTTGGGAGGTCTTCCTCTTTCTCTGACCCTCCACCGTTCCCAGCCTGCTGTCTTGTACTAAGAACTGGCCCCTTCTACCCACAAGCCCACAGTCACTGAGATGAAGCTCCATTGTCCTTGCCTCTGATCTCATCCTGGTGGCGCTTCCTCCAAAACAGACTTGCTTGTTCTTCCGGCAGTTCTTTCACTAAATATTCTGAGAGGAAAATTTCATTCAGAAGCCCTCTCTTCACCAATAGCTTCTTTTCCTGAAATCTGACATTAATTTTATAACTTTTCTTTTTCTCACTTTGCTGTAGTTGTTGTTATGTGCCATAGAGTTGCTTGCGAGTCATAGCGACCCTATGTACAAACAGCCCTAAACCCTGCTCTGTCCTGAGCCAATCTCACTGTCTCTGATAAACCCATCCCAATTACTCCAGTCACTGAATCAATCCATCCCATAGAGGGTCTTCTTCTCCTGTGCTGTCCCTCCACCCTCTCAAGCATGACATCCCTCTCCAAGGGCTAGTCCCTCCTTGCAACATGTCCAAAGTATGTCAGACGAAGCTTCAGAATCCTTGCCTCCAAGGAGCAGCCTGGCTTCACCCTCTCCCAGATGAATCTGTTCATTCTCTTAGCAGTCCATGGTATATTCAATACTCTTCTCCTTCACCACAGCTCAAAGTCATCAATTCTTCTTCTGTCCTCCCTAGTCATTGTCCAGCACCCTGACGCATAGCAAGTGATTGCAAAGACCATGACCTGGATCAAGCGCACCTTAAAACAACTAGTTCTTCCCATTAAAAACGATAAAAGTGATGCTCCAGTTTCTCATAGAATGAGAATGTGTCAGAGATGTGTCACATATGCCAGAGACAGTGGGGATGGCACAGGATAGGACAGGGTTCAGATCTGTTGTTCATAGGGTCACTCTGAGTTGTGCTCAAGTTGGAGACACCTTACAATAACAACCATCTCAGACGCACATGGATTCACTGGAGTTAGAATGATACTACAAGTAGCCTGGAGGGGGTGACTGTGCCTCTTCAAATCCACCAGAGGCTCCGTGGGAGGAATTTGAACAGTCACTTTCTGTAAAGATTTACAGTGTTGGGAACCAGATGGAGGGTCAGCAGGGGGTTGCTTTTGACTGGACAGCAGTGAGTTTCATTATCTGTAATTGAGACACACTATTCTGAAACTTTCCTCTTACTTTTCTTGAAATCATTTCAGAACCATGTGCAGAGGGGAACATTCCATCCTTGGGCAGTTGAAAGCAGAGCGTAAGTAACTTTGTTTGTTGTTTTGCCTCCATCATTATTTATTTTTTTTAAATACAAAATTAAAGAGTCAGAAATAATTAGTGTTTTCACACTGTGATTACTGCACTCTGCATAAGAAGTATTCCATCAAGCAGAGAAATTATTATGAAATTGCCCAGTTATGCAGATGAAGACACTACCCCCTTGGAGAAGCCTAAGTCAAGGAAAAGGAAGTGCTTTTATATTTTTCTACTTGTTTTTATTATTTACTCATCTGTGGACATGGTTTTGATAACGAGAGAAGTTTATAAGGTGCCTCACATAGACCGTCTATGTGTATTCTCCTCTCATCCTCCTCCAGCGTCGCGGAGAGTAGGCACTCCAAGTGTTATCTCTGCTTCACAGATAGAAACCAGTGCTGCAAGGTCAACCTGGCATTTGTGTCCCCACATCCATAGACAGACTTCTTAACTTTCTCACATACTTGCAATGGTTTCCAATGGTTACAGAAGAAGACCAATTATATACCTATTTTGTCACCAATAACACTTTGCTAACCTTTAAGAACATTGCCTTAAAGGTTGTGATTGTTCTGTGCTGTTGCATCAACTATGATTCATAGCGACTTTATGAACAATAGCTCTGAACCTTGGCCTATGCCATGCCGTCTTCATGATCTCTGACATTCTTGAACCCATTGTCACAGTCACTGTGTCAGTCTTAACTTGTGGAAGGTCTTCTTCTTTTTGCTGACCTTCCATATTTCCCAGCATGATGCTTTTTTCCAAGGATTGGCTCTCCCTGACATGTCCAAAGTATACGAGATGAACTTTCACCATCCTTGCTTCTAAGCAGAACCCTGGAGTTGTTGTTGTTGTCATGTGCCGTTGAGTCACCTGTGACTCATAGCGACCCCATGTACAACAGCCCTAAACCCTGCTCTATCCCTTGCTAACCTTATTGTCTCCACAACCTGCTCCAATTACCCCAGTCCCTGAATCAATCCACCTCATAGAGGGTCTTCCTCTCCTGCGCTGTCCCGCCACCCTCCCAAGCATAGAGTCCCCCTCCAAGGACTGGTCTATCCTTGCAACATGTCCAAAGTATGTCAGACGAAGCTTCAGAATCCTTGCCTCCAAGGAGCAGCCTGGCCTCACCCTCTCCAGGATGAACCTGTTTGTTCTCCTAGCAGTCCATGATATAGTCAATATTCTCCAACACCACAGCTCAAAGGCATTAATTCTCCTTCTATCATCCCTAGTCATTGTCCAGCTCTCTGATGCATAGCAAGTGACTGCAAAGACCATGGCCTGTATACAGCACACCTTAGTCTCCAGAGTGACACCATTGCTTTTCAGTACTTTGGAGAGGTCCCTAAACACAGACTTAATAATAATTTTTAAAACCACACAACTATCTTTAACTTTTGTAGGAAATCACCTTCAAAAACACTTGCTCAAATACCTTCTTAATGCCTCCTGCCATGTAACTCTTGGCTGCAATATAACATAACTGTGGGCTTACTTGTTTATATCTTTACGGACTGACCCTAAGCTCAGCACCTAGTACTGAGTAACTGCATGTGTAAAAGGAGTAGGTGTCACGGGTTTGGCTGAGCCTGACCACCATGTGCTCCATAAAGGGGAACTATCCCTACCCGTAATATCCACAGCAGCAAACAGACAACTGTTAGATCAGACATGCCAACCCCCCAACCTGCTCCTGTACCTGTTTGCAACAATGACTGGATTCAGTATTCATTGTTGACTCAAAAAGTTTACTCACAGTTGTGGTACCAAGAGGGGGTTTATTAGGGAAGTAAGTTGTAGAGTCGAGGAGGAAAAGATCACCCAGTGCAAGTCTAGGTTTTAGTCCAGTGGTGCCAAGGCACAATACCTCCTTTAGTCCAGGCTCCAGTTTCAGTTCAGCAGTCAGTTAGCTTTTACTTCTATCATTCGGCAAGATCTGCAAGACCTTTCAATGTGGCCTTTATCTCAGGGCTCCTCGGGTTACATTTTGCTATAGGTACTCCACAGCAGTGCCACGATCTCTCCACCACAATCACCAGGATCTTACCACCAGGGTCTCACTGTCACCATGGTTTCGCTCTCACCAGGGTCTCACTTTCTCTAGGCCTTCCTTCAGTCTCCTTCAAGTCTTGCTGCTCAGTGTGGGAAGCACTCTCTCTCTTATTCTAGTCTCTTTGCTGTTGATGATTTGCAAGACCATGTGTCTTAACTGCAGGCAAGGTAACCAGAGACCAGAAGGGGCTAACAGAATGGCTAGAAAATCCAACTTATATGCTAACATTGCTGTGTGTAATACTTTGTAATAAGTAAAACCAGTTTCACAGTTATTAAGCTAGACCAACATTTTTAATGAAATGGATAAAGTAATCTCCAACTTCATATGGAAAATAAAGAGACCCCAAATAACTAAGTATTATTGAAGAACACAGTTGAATGCCTCTTACTCTCTGATCCTAAAATTTACCATACATCGCTGGTAATCAAAACAGCCTGGTATACTCCTGGTTCAATAGAGACATAAACTAAAGGAACAGAAATGAGAATCCAGAAGTAAATCCATTCACATAGGAGCAACTGATCTACTACAGAGGATGAAAGTCTGTTCAGTGAATTAGAGCTGGTTCATTCAGCAAATGATGTCACCAAAACAGAATTTCCATATACAGAAAAATAAACCATATTTCACACAGTGCACAGAAACTAACTCAAAATGGACCAAAGACCTAAAAATTAAGACCAAAACTGTAAGATTACTGGAACAAGTCATAATTTCAAAACTAGGGGACCTAATTTTTTAAGTTCGTATACATTGTGTTTCACACTATTCTTAATCCACATTGTGTTTCATGCAATCATTACCATGGATTATGTTTTAAGAACCTAATTTTTAAATAAGTATCTGATCAAACAAAACTGAAATTGCATGAACAATAGAAGATGAACTAGGTAACCAGGACATCCTAAAAATTAAGCACTATACTTATCAAAATACTTTGCCAAAAGAGTCTAAAAATACCCTACGGAGTGAGGGCACATATACAGAAAATGTAAATAATGAGAAAGAAAAAGATGGGAAAAAAGGTCTAATTTATAAATAAATGAAAGGATAACTAGTAAAATTTGTATAAAGATCTAAGAGGGGAAGGTTTATTGCCTGTCTGACTGTCTTCTTGGGTAAAAGATCTCTTCATGTCCTCTACACTTTCAGCAAACAAAATTGTATCTGTAGAAAGTAAACTGTTGATGAGTTTTTCTCCAATTCTGATGCCATGTTCTTGCAGTCTATCTTCTCCAATTATTTGCCCAGGATAAAGATTGCTTAGGTATAGTGAAAAGATAGATCTCTGACACACACCTTTCTTGATCTTAAACAATGCAGTATCCCCTTGTCAATAATAATTTCTTGGGTTTTGTACGTGTGTATTTTGCATAAGCACTTACAAGGGGTTGTGAAATTCCCAGTTTTCCAGTGTTGTCAAATTATTATGACCCACAGTTAAATTCCCCCACATAGTGAATATAACAAAAGTAACATCTTTCTGATAAAACACAAATATTTTTACAATGTCAGAAGATCCATCTGACATCAACAATGATATCCCTAGTTCCATGGCCTCTTCTGAATCCAGCTTGAATTTCTTGTAGTTCTTTGTTGGTGTTCTCTTAGAGCATTTTTAAATAATCTTCAGCAAGGTTTTGCTTAAGTGTGATATTAATAATATTGTTCAGTAATTTCCAATCTCCACAGTCTGTTGTATAATCTTTTTGTTTGTTTGTTTTGAATGAGCAGAAATAAGAATCTTTTCCAGTCTGTTGTCCAGGCAGCTGTTTTCTGAATTTCTTGGTACAGAGGAGTGAGCATTTCCGGGTTGCATATGTTTGCCGTAATGCTTTGATTGGTACTCCGTCCAGTCCTGGAGCCTTACTTTATGCCATTATGTCCAGTATAGCCAGGACTGGAGACCAGGTATAATCAAATATACCATTGGTTGTTGATCGTATGCTACTTTCTGAAATAGTTCAGTGTCAGCCAATTCTTTGTGATACAATGACAGTGTGTTCTTCCCATCCTCTCTCGGTACTCCCTGCATCATTCAGTGTGTTGTCCTGTAGCGCCTTCAGAACTGCAAATGGAAACTTGAATTGTTTTCCTCAATTTCTTTGAGATTGAGAAATGCCAAACTTGATCTTCCTTTTCTAACTCCAGGTGATTGCACATTTCATTATAATACTTTGCTTTGTTTTCTTGAATTACCTTTTAAAATCTGTTCAGCTCACTTAGTTCATCATTTATTAGGACCTGCACTGCCAACCCAAAGTCATACAGTTTAAATCCACCAGATGCTTGGTGGGAGGTAGGCGATCGCCTCCTCTGTAATTACAACCCCTGAAAACCTGCTGGAGGGTCAGGTATGAGTGGATTCCGACTTAATGGCACATACAACAGCCTGGCAAAAAGAAAGTTTGAGATTCTCTTCTGACATTAATTTTGATCTTTTCTCTTTTCTGTCTTTTTCATTGTTGTTGTTATGTGCCATCAAGTTGCTTGTGACTCATAGCAACCCTATGTACAAGAGCCCTAAACCCTGCTCTATCCTGTGCCAACCTCACTGTCTCCAGTGTAGGTGTGCACCCACTCCCATGACCCCAGTAACTGAATCATTTCATCGAGAGTCTTCTCATGCAATGTCCCTCTCCAAGAACTGTTCCCTCCTTGCAACATGCCCAAAATATGTCAGAAAAAGCTTCAGAATCCTTGACTCCAAGGAGCAGCCTGGCTTCAACCTCTCCAGGACAAACCTGTTTGTTCTCTTAGCAGTCCATGTTATATCCAATACTCTTCTCCAACACCACAGCTCAAAGTCATCAGTTCTCTTTCTATCATCCCTAGTTACTCTCCATCTCTCCAATGCATAGCACACAAATGTGAAGACTATAGCCTGGATCAGGCGTGCCTTAGTCTCCAGCCTGACATCGTTGCTCTTCAGTACTTTGGAGAGGTCCCTGACAGCTGACTTTCCCAGTGAAATTCATCTCTTGATTTCCTGGCTGCTGGTACCAAGAGTGTTGACTGTGGAGCCAAGCAAACTAAAACTGTTAACTATCTCAACCTCTTCACCATCCAAACTGATGCTACCAATTGGTCCAGTTGTGAGAATCTTTTTCTTTTTCTTTACCTTTCACTTTTTTAATGTGCAGTATCTGCTGTCATTTCACAGCTCCTCTGGTCTTCGTCGTCAGTGTTCAGCACATCAACTCTATCCTGAAAATGGTTTTTAAATTCAGTTGAGATAAACTTAAGATCATATGTGGGATCTTGTGGACTTATTTTCATTTTCTTCAGCTTCTACTTTGAGGCGGCACATTTTCTCCCAGTTATATTTTGAGTGCTTTGCAACCTGAAGTCTCATGCTCCAACACTATATCAAACAATAATCTGCTACTGTGATGGAATTTTGGAGGGCCCATTTTTCAGAAGTCAGTCTTGTGTTTTAATCTATCCTGGCTTGGCTCTCCATTGAATCCTGTCTAGCATGGGTGAGCTTACTGTTAAATGAAATAGTGATGGCAAAATTTCTAGCATCACAGCAACATACAGTCCACCACAGTATGGTGAACTGACAGATGAGTGGTGGACGTAGTTGGATATGGATGCGTAAATGTTATAAAAGTGGGTACATATGTGAGTAAATGTACCTGCAAGAAGATTCAACTGTACTCATATATATAGTCACCCCATTTTCATTCATTGTGGTGAGGCTCCTAAGTGCCTGTTTTTTGGAAAGTAGGTTTCCAGTTCTTCAGAAAGTTAAACACTGAGGTACTTTGTAGCCAGCCACTCCACTCTTTGGTATATATGCAAGAGAAATATAAATGAAAGCCAAAGCTTGCATGTGACTAGTCAAAGCAATCTTATTCAGAGTAGCCAAAAAGTAGAAACAACCCGAATGTCCATTGACTGATGAATAAATAAATAAACGTGCAGTGTATACATGCAGTATTATTAGACCTGTATCTGTACAATAGATTATTATTCAGACACAAGAAAGGAATCATGTACTGATTTATTATATTTATAATATAGATTGACTTTAAACAAACATTGTGCTTAGTGCAGGGTTAGCACACATACGCATTGTCTGATTGCATTTACATGAAATGTTCAGAATGAATAATTCTATGGAGATAAAATAGATCAGGGTTGACTGGATGGAGGGTGTAATGTAAAGTGTGACTCCTAATATGTATGGGAGTTATTTTTGGTTTACAAAAATGAAATAGTGGTGATGGTTACACAGCTTTGTGAATATACCAAAGAACACTAAATTGTACACTTTAAAAGGTGAGCTTGTGTTCTGTTGACTTTAAGAAGGCTCACAGGGTTTAAGAAAAATAACAAATGAGTGTGCTACTACATATTTAAATCATATGCTATTTAAATATGCATCTGTTAAATTTGGTTGTTCAGCAATTTTTCACTGATGATATATTAAAAAAGAAAATAAAACAGCCCCAGAAATCATTAGGAACATCTTGATACCTAAGATGTGCACATGACCAATAACTGATGTTGCTGAAAGGCGTATCTAATTATAATGCAGAACAGAGATTTACCAGAGCACAATTCCTGACTATTTTTTAATGGCTTAAAATGAAGATGACAGTGAAGGAATAAGTCTGTGAAAGATAAATTGATAAAAGTGAATCAGAAAAATCATTCAGCACTGGCAGTTGGCTTGTGAAAATGCAAACGGGAGGTCATAAAAGAATAAAATGTCAAATCAAATCACATTCAGTTTCTCAGCACAAAAATGGCCTGGACTTTATTACAAAGCATTTCCTCTGACTCTGGGTCCTTGTCCTGCCTTGGCCTATTCAAGGGGGAAAATTGGATTTTAACACAAGAAGTAATTTCACAGTGAAAGCTCTCTTATGAAAAGATGTCAGAGTACCCTGGGTAGAAGTCAAAATCAGGCATCTCAGTAGGGGAAAATGTTCATAACAGATTAATGACATCAACATCCCTTTCTGAGGGACAATGTTGTATTGTTGATACTGTTTTTGTTAAGGTGTGCTGGGTTGTAAATGCTTTTTACCAGCTAATCTCTAATTGGATAGAGAACTTCAGTAATGATACTGCCTCAGTTATTTAGAAATACCCAAATGGAATATGCTAAAATACTGGAAAGAAAATCCCCAGTGATTTGTGCATCATTGTTAGATATTTCAATCCTCAAGGATTTTGTTTAAAGTCTTTTTATTTTTTTAATAATTTCATGACTTATAGCAGTTTAGCAGCCAATATAGTTTAATTTGATACGAGAAACGAAGATATTCGTTGATGATTAGAAACACACATATATCGAGTGCAGCCTTGAAAAGATGAGGAGGAAGACCCCAGATGAAGTGGATTAACATAGTGACTGGGGCAATAGGAGTGGTTATGTCGGAATTACTGAGACTGGCTCAGGACAGGGAAGAGTTTAGAGCTGCTGTACGTAGGGTCACTATGGGTCGCAGGTGACTTGATGGCACAGGACAACAATAACAACAACTACTCATATTGCTATTAAAAAATAAACTTGATCATTTAAGTTTAATATTTGTTTATAAGGTTTTTATTTTGTTGGGTTTCTTTCCCCCGTCTTCAACCTAAGAGTATGTGTTAAAAAGGGGGCTTTGGTGGCCTAGTGGGTAAATAGCTTTACTGACAACCCAGAGGCAAGTGGTTCGAATACACCATATTCTCTCCCCAGGAGAAAGATGACCATTTCCTCCTATGCAATTTACAGCCTCTGAAAACCTAATAGTGGGTCAGCTATGAGTCAGTTCCACCTGGATGGCAACGAGCATGCTAGCAATAAATGTGAACTTCAGTGTAACTATTAGAATATTTCATGTTCTCTGGGAAAAAATAAAAAAGGTCTTTTTCTATTAGAATGTAGGATGGTTTCTTTCCACTTCATTTATTCTTTGTATCAGATACTACTTATCCAGGACAGCTCCTTTGTGGGGCAGGGACGCTAACATGTGTGGCTGACGCTGTCCTGGCAGGGTGATTATTACTGCTCCATTGCTATGGAAGGTGTGTCTACCTGTTACAGGAAGAGAGACCAGCCTGGCAAATGCAAGCCTAGTACCCCCCCTTTATCTGATGAAAACTCTCCAAAGTGAAATGTAGGGAAGATCCGTTCATTTCCTTATTCTAATTACAGAGGAAGAGTTTTACATTTCCAGTGCTTGTACTTAATTCAAGTCTGTAAATTTTTAAACTGCTGCTTTGGGTGGATTAAGCTACAAAATGCAAATGCGTCCAATTTGCCTTCTCTCGTATCTTGCACTGAATTTCAGTGGCAGCATGTCTCAGTGAAGACAGAGTCAAAGGCTACACAGAAGTCTTCGGTTCTTCACTGGGACTTGGCTGCAATCCTTCTTCTTCTGTGCAGTTATCTGCCGGATCACGCAGATAAAAGGTTCATATTTGAATTTGCTTAGTGAATGAAGGCTTTAAGAGAGCGTTCAGGAATAAAAAATTGGGTGACCTCGTGGTAGGGAGCCAACCCAAAGGCAGGTGATCCCAACCCACCAGCTGCTCTGTGGGAGAAACACAGACAGTCTTTCCTGCGATCTTCCATGGCCTCCAACACCCTGGAGGGTCAGCTGTGAGGCAGCTCATCTTGACAAAACAGCAACAACATCCAGATTACCAACAGAAAACCCATCATACAGCAAAAGGAGATGAGAGGAGAATTCTGAAAGGAAAAAAAATTATCAAATTAATACTTTTTTATTGTGGCTTGAGTAGAAATTTACAAAATATTTTGGTTTACCATTCCATCATTCATACACTGTTTAATGGCTGTGATCTCAATATCCCCCTTTTGACGACACCCTTCTCTCTCTGAGGCTTCCCTTCCTTTGGTGGTGCTGTGCTGATCCCTTCTCCCATCTCAATAAGTGTCTGTTATCTATTTACCTCATTTTTCTCCACTTGTCACTCTCCTCTCACCCCCATAACCATCAAAAGGTGTTTCTTTCTTTTGGATAAACCCTCCCTTAGCTTTTTCTAATAGTAGAATCATATAAGACTTGGTCTTCTGTGGCTTACACTCTATTCTCCAGAGTCTATTCTGAGATTTGTACACCAATGTTCATAGCAGCGTTATTCACCATCGCAAGAACATGGAAACAGCCCAAATGTCCAACCACAAACGAATGGATTGAGAAATTATGGTACATTCACAGAATAGAATAGTATGCAGCACGCAGGAGTAATGAGTTTGTAAATGATTATCTAACTTGGGAGGAACTAGAGAACATTATGCTGAGTGAGCTAACTCAGTCCCACAAGGATAAATATTGTATTGAACCGTTATTGTAGGATGAGTATAAGGACCCAGGAGGGGTGGGAGAGGCTGGAAGCAGAGGGATGAGGATGTGCAGGGGGCGGGGGGATTAAACATGGAGTTTGTACAATTTGATGGGTGTGAGGTGAGGGATATTGAAAGAATTTGTTCTTAAGAACAATGTATTCAAATTTTGTAAATAAACTAGTAGAAAATTTTTAAAAATATTGGATCTGAAAAAAAAGAATATGTGTTCTCCATAAAGAAAGAAAAGAAATGTATTTGTTTGACTGAGCAATAATACTTTCTGTGCCTTGACTGACTGCGGTCGTATTAATTTGAGCATCCTTTTTTGTTCACTTCCAGTTGGTAATCAGTGGATAAATTACATATCGTTCTGTGGCCTTCGAACACACGCAGAACTCGAAGGGAACCTGGTCACCGAGCTCATCTACGTCCACAGCAAGTTGTTAATTGCTGATGACAACACCGTCATTATTGGTAAGTGCGTTGGCTGAAGTTTTGTCCTATGTCAAAAACTTTCTTATTATTCTCAAGCTCCCTTTGCAGGTGAGAGGAGCAAAAATACAGTCTCGAAAACATTTCCAAAGCAATCGTTGGCTCATATCCTTTCAAGCCCCTAATTTTATTTAGGAAAAAACAGACAAAGAGTTATTAAACTGCCTCTGTGCCTGTTATGATACCCAAAGGCAACCGTTTAACCCAGCAGCCCAACAATCTGCCCGCTTTCTTACTGCCCACTATTTTTATTTTTAATGAAAATATCTAGATTTTAGGGAATTAAACAACAGGATGTGCATCACAAATGAATTATTGGTATGTATAAACAGAGCCATTGCCACAGACCTGAAATAACGCAAGAGCCAAAATCAGGAGGATATTAAAACGGCTTCTACGTTTCCCAAGTTTTGTTTCCTGGTGTCTATAAATGTAGAGTCACTGGGAGTTGGAGCTAACTCATGATGATGACGATGATGGTGATATTTTTGGGGTGTAAAGCTAGCCAACTCTGCTGAAGTGTGTGTATGGACAGGTAGGAACTGGATGATAACAATGTGATATAACACAGTCTTTTCTTGTCAAGGACACACAGTAAATTTCTCCAACATCCGATCCCCATAAGCAGACTCTAAAGAGTTATTTAAGCATTACTTTCTAGCGTTGAAATCTGTGGGGGAATTCTTTGGCTATGAGTTGTACTTGGCTCCATGGCACCTAATGAAAGCAGCAACAATCTGTACGGAGTTGTGCTGCCAACTCAAGGCTGTTCCTCTCTGGTGGTTCAAATCTACCAGCAGCTCCTTGGAAGAAAGACAGACAGTCTCCTTCTGTTCCACTGAACGCCTCAGAAACGAACAGAGGGTCCCGTGTGTGTAAATTTCAACTCAATGGCATGGAGTAAAATGTGCATTCTACCCCAATCAGATCGACTAGACAAGAAGGAAGTCTTATCAGTTCATTCTCTGCCTTCCAGTACTGTATTAGGCTAACACCAAAAGTCTAGCATGAGAAACAAAATGAAACTAACCATGAATCATAAATTCATCAGTTGGCTGAGGTAGAAGGATTTTTAGCAATATGATGGGAATTGAGAATTCTGTTCATTTGTTTAAAATAAAGTGATAACTCAGTTATAATAAAGTATTTCCATGTTCTTCCAGAAACTAAATGTCCTGGAATATTTTGGAAGTTTCTTTGGCAATAAATATTCCTTTTCTATCTCTTTTCCCCACTTGGAGGTAGGGAGGGGACGCAAATTCATAATGGGAAGAATGATGCTATCTTATCTGCAACATGATTTGAAAAAAAGGGAGTCATTCTGAAACTTGTGCCAAAAATAGATAGACCACAGTCATGAGATAAATATTTTTAGTATATACACAGGGAAATTAAGAAAAATGCCTAGTGTCATTGACCTCTTGTCTCTATAAGGAATGAGGCTTTTAAGGAGTTTACACACTTTTTTAAAAAAAAAAATAGGTTCTTTTACTTCCTTGAAGTTTAGTCTGCCTTATATTCTTCAGAAGCCAAGCCCGAGAATATTTTATATTCATTTTGACCTTGACAAAAGAAATGGAAAAGTATTGTTGACTGAAACAGAACAAAGCCAAAAGCCAAGTCGAATTCATTTGATCCCTTTAGCAAGATCTCCAAACTCTTGAAGTGAAAATTGATGGATTTTTTTATTTATTTTCTTTTAAAGGTCATTTTGACCTCCAGCCAGCTTTACATAAAAATGTAAATGCAAAGTAGCTTTCAGTAATAAAGCTAACAGTAGACTATGTTTGGTGAGTTTTAAGAAATGGAATTATTTTCTAGAACAGTCTGCAAACCCCCATGGGCTACTTTTTGTTTTTTCAGGCAGTGATTGATCCATTTTGCATACAATTCTGATTCTCGCTCTGCAAAGTGTAACCCTGGCCTGATGGGAGGGCCAAAAGGTCAAATTCCTGGTCCTCGTTTAGAAATTTCGAGGCTGCTTGTTTTTTCCCCCTGCTTCCCCACAAGCAGTGTCATTTAGTTTAAACAACAGATTTCACCCACAGAAAAATCCCAAGATGTTTTTGTTATTATTTTCGTGGAAACACTATGAGTAAGTACGTTTGTTATTGCCCTAATCCTGTTTGAATCTCTAACACGGAGGAAAATGTTTAAAATTCTAATTCATCAGTCTGAGAAGTGAGGTTAGGAATATTTTACAGGTTAAGCAGGTACTTATAGGTGTTAATTAAGGTATTAAATGCTTAATTTAAAGGAGTTTAAAGAAAAAACTTGTCGTTATATTTCCTAAGATGACACACTTATACTGAAATAACTGAATAATTGACTTAAAAATTAGTTCTTGTTTATCTTTGTTTTGCCTCACAAGAAACACATATTTTCTCACGTTAAAGATTCCTTTTGTATAGAACAACAGTCATTATCTTTTGCCCAGGATAGCGTGGCACAGCATGAAATCAGTAGCTAAATCCAGTTTTTTCTAATCCGTTTTAGCCAAACTAATTTTTATTTGTGTTCCTAAATAAAACAATCCACAATCTGATCATATAAAAAAAAAAAATCCATTGCTGTCAGCTTGATTCCAGTTCATAGAGATCCTACAGGTTAGAGAGGAAGTCTGGTAGGTAAGGTAAGGAGCTGTGCTGCCGGCACAAAGGTATGTGGTTCAAATCCACCAGCTGCTCTTGAGAAGAAAAATGAACACTGTCCTCACTTGCGATTTACTGCCTCTGAAAGCCCACAGGAGGGCCAGCGATGGGTGCATTCTAACTCACTGGCACACAACAATAAATGAAACGAAGGCTAGCCTTTAATAAGCTTTGATGGCATCGTCCATAGGGAGGTGCACTGTGAACCCAAACGCCACACTTTCCTGGTGGTTCAAACCCATCCATAACTCTGAGGGAGAAAGATGGACAGTCTGCTTCTGTGTGATTTACAGCCTCCCAAAAACCTGACAGAGAGTCGGCTGCAATTTCACTCTGGCTCAAAGACAATTAGCATTTTAATTCACTGTGAAGCACAAGAAACCAAAATCCTTGTCATTTAGTCATTTCCACCTTACAGCTACTCCGTAGTATACCATAGAATTTCCCAGCAAGCTTCCAAGACGGGATATCATTACAGAAACAGATGCCACACCTTTTGTGCTGCAATCTCAAAGGAATGTGGTTCAAACGCACCAGCTGACCCACAGGCAACCTCTTCCCAAAGATGGGCAATCTCTTCCTATTTACCATTAATCCATCTTAATGTAAGTCTCTTCTTGAAAAGGCAGCTTTTCATAAGAAAAAAGAAAAAAAATCCTACCAGTTGGGCTAATGGTAGAGTTGATACTGCCGTTCACCTCCTGCTGTTGCTGTCACAGAGGCAGCCAGGGCTTCTGGTCAGCCTGGCCCAATTGCCCCGTGCCTTCAGAAACACAAGAAGGTTGAACTACAATGAGAACAACACTAAAGAGTTCCCTAGGCCCTTTCTCTCGGTTGTAGGACACCTCAAGGATTCAGAAGTGTGACTCCACGGTGATTAATACAGAAGCAGCGTGGGGTTTCTGAAACACAGCGGAGGACTGCAGAAAACACAGGTTGAGCTAATTCAAATATGTGTCCTTCACATGTGAAAGTCAACATTCTCAGCTCACTGGATTTAAAAATAGAAGGGAGCGAGGTTGGACCAGAAGCTGTTGGCATGCCGCATGAGTGGGACACGGGAATGGAAAGCCCAAAGCCTCAGTGATGGTCTGCACGTGAGATGGGACTCCATTGGGACAATTCCTATGGATTTTGGCATTTATACTCCTTTACTGTGGGCTAAAGCCTGCGGAGTCTGATTCTTTAGTCTAAAAGCAAAGCCACTTTCTGCTTTGAGCTTAATTTTGTTGTTGGGTTGTGTGGGTTTTTTCCCCCTTAAGTGATTGATCTATCAGTTAGACTCTTTTGGAACATAAGAGAAAGTTGGAAGTAAGCTAAATACTGTTGTTCTTCTTTTCGTTGTCATTGTGTACCATAGAGTTGGAACCAACCCAAAGTTGACCCTCCAGTGGGTTTTCATAGGCAGTTAATCCCATGAGAGGAGATTGCCATCCTTCTCCCGTGGAACACCTGGTGGCCTCAAACCATGAGCCTTCCGGATTACACAGTAGCTTTTTTGCCACTAGGCTACCAGAGCTCCCATGCTAATTACTAGGGGAAATATGTTATCTGGCATTAACAGAGGGGAAGGAAGTTCTAGTCCCGTGGCTTAATGACTCAAGAATCCTTTTGACTTTTTTTTGGTTTATCTGCCTTTACCTCAACAAAAACCAACAGACACATACAAACAACAACAATATGTTAAATTCTATTATTCATAGCGATCTTATGGGACAAAGGGGATGTGTTCATATTGTTTCCTGAGCTGTAAACCTTGTTGAAAGTGGTCTTATCTTTGTCCCATAGAACAGCTGTTGGGTTCAGTCAGCAGTCAAGCAAGCCATCAACCTCTGTGTCACCAGAGCTCTGTCGTGGCTGCAAACGTCAGCAGAAGCTCCTCAAGTTAAAGTATCCGTGTGTCATAACAGACCACTTGACCTCCCTGTGTCCATTTCAAAGGAGAAAAATATTTTCAGAAACCCCTGACAGACCTTCTTTCCTTCACCGACTGGATTCACGTGTTACACGACTATCCCTAAACCAGCTGACAAAAGGAATGAGTTAACTCAAGATCATCTCACACGAGAGAGCTCTGGTAGCCTAGTGGGGAAAGAGCTGTCCTGCCAACCTGAAGGCAGACAGTTCTAATCCACTGCTGCAGAGGGCAGTCTTCTGCACTGCCATCCTGAAGGCACGTGGTTCAAGGCCACCAGCCTCTCTGAGGGAGAAGGATGGGCATTCTCCATCTGTGTGATTAACTGCCTCTGAAAACCCACTGGAGGGTCAGCTATGGGTCTGTTCTGACTCTGCCATCCACAACAACAAAGTTCATCACTGGGTGAAGGAGGACCACATTTCCCTAAAACCCACCTCCTCTTGATAACAATCAAACCCCAACCCAAAGCTGTTGCCTGGGTACAACTTACAACACCCCTTCAGAACAGTGGAACTGTCCTGTAGACATTCCTGGACTGTAAATCTTCATGATAGAAGAATCCTTTCTCTTTCTTCTGTAGAGCTACTGGTAGATTTGAACTCCTGACTTTGTGGTTAACAGCCAAAGTCTTTCTCTATGCTGCCATCAGGAATTCTCTTGACTACGGGAACAAAACCAAGGTTCCTTAGGAGACAGAATGGAAGGGGAAGGACAGGGTTTGCCTTGATGGGAAGATGTTTACTGTTGTTGTGTGCTGTGGAGTTGCCTGCGACTCTGACTCTTATTGTTGTGTGTACCATTGAGTTGGAACCAACTCATAGCTGACCCTCCAGCAGACTCCAGGAGGCAGATAATCGTGAGGGAGGTGATCCAAACCGCATGCCTTCAGGATTGCAACACAGCTTCTTAGGACTAGGCTGACTCACAGACACTGTTAAACATATTGAAACCCGCCTGTTCCGGCTCTGTCCAGGCAAGCTCTGCTTTGCTCAGCTCCTCACGGAGGCACTGGGGCAGGCCCTCTGGGTAAGGTCCTTCCTCACTTCGGCTGATTCTCTGCTGCCTCTCTTTGCAGGCTCTGCCAATATCAATGACCGCAGCATGCTGGGAAAGCGTGACAGCGAAATGGCCATCATTGTCCAGGATACAGAAACGGTTCCTTCGGTGATGGATGGAGAGGAGTATCGAGCTGGCCGCTTCGCCCGAGGACTTCGGCTACAGTGCTTTAGGTCAGCCTTCCAGAGCTGTCTTACATGTTGTTGTTGTTGTTGTTGTTAGGTGCTGTCGAGTCACCTGCAACTCATAGCAACCCTATGCATGATAGATCTGAACTCTGTCCTGTCCTGAGCCAATCTCACTGTCTCCAGAAAACTTCTATTATTACCCCAGTCACTGTGTCAATCCATCTCATCCTGGGTCTTCCTCTCTTGCACTGTCCTCTACCCTTCCAAGCAGGATTTCCTTCTCCAGTGACTGGTCCCTCCTGGCCACAAGCCCAAAGCATGTGAGAGGAAGTCTCAAACTCCTTACCTTCAGAGAGCAACTTGGCTTCACCCTCTCCAGGAAACACCTGTTTGTCCTTTTGGCAGTCCATGGTATGTTCACTACTCTTCTCCAGCACCACAGTTCAAGTCAGCAAGTCTTCCATCATCCTTATTCATTGTCCAGCTCTCTGATGCATAGCAAATAACTGTGAAGACCATGGCCTGGATCAGGTGCACCTTAGTCTCTACACTGACATCTGTGCACTTAAGCACTCTGAAGAGGACCCTCACAGCAGGCTTTTCTAATCCAATCTAACTTTTGATTTCCTGGCTGGTGCCACGAGTATTGATTATGGACCCAAGCAAGCTGAAATTGTTAACCATCTCGATCTCTTCTCCATCTATCATGGTGTTGCCAATTGGCTCAGTAGTGGGAATCTTTGTTTTCTTGACATTGAGCTTCAATCCATTTTGAAGACTGCATTCCTTGACTTTCTGCAGCAGATGCTTCAGGTCCTCCTCAGTTTCAGTGAGCAAGGTTGTGTCATTTGCATAAAGCAAGTTGTTGAGGAGTCTTCCTCCAGTTCTGATTCCACATTCCTTCTCATAAAGACCAGCCTACCCTTTCTTACATAGTTGCACAAATAGGCCGTGGGTCCCTAAATTGTTCTTGGTCTAAAACAGCATTTCCCACAATATATTATGTGTACTACCAGTAGTAGGGAGCATTAGTGGTTTATTGGTAAGGAATTTTGCTGCCAATGGTAGGGTGCTCTGTTCTAATCCACTAGTTGCTCTGCGCAAGAGGGTCAGTCTTGTGCAATTTACAGCCTCTGTAAACCCACTGGATGATCAGCTTTGGGTCAGTTCAGGTTCAACAGCACACAACAATCACTACTAGTAGCGTGTAAAGTTATTTTTTTTTGTAGTATGCCAACATTTAAAAATTTTAATAATTCTTATTGTTTGAATGTTTATTAATTTTCTTTTATTGTGAGGAACCAGCCCATAGCTAAGCCTACAGGTATAAATCACATGGAAGGAGGTTGCCTGTCTTTCTCTGTCAGAGTTACTGGGGGATTTGTACTATGAGAGTGGAAATGCCTTTGGATTAGCGCTACTCCCTATGAATAACACGCCTCCGGAAACTCTATGAGCTTGGATAAATGTCGATGTTTGTAGAGGCTTCAGGCCTTTTGTTCGTAGGGTCGCTATGAGTCGTGCTCGACTGGAAGGCAATCAACAACAAACAACAACAACCCCCTGTGAACTATGCCACCAGCGCCCCCTCCGTGTGTGTTACTAAAAGACTTAAGCTCGTTTCTGTTGAGTGATTACTGATTCCTAGCTGACTCTCCGGTGCTTTTCAGAGGCTACAGATTTTGAGGAAGGAGATTACCCATAATCCTCCCACAGAGCAGCTGGAGGATTCCGACTTGTCTGTCTGTGCGTCTGCAATGCAACTCCTTCCCCTGGAGAGCACCAGAGCACCCTAACGAAGTAAAGAGAAGGAGGGGGAAACCCTTCCTAGAACAAAACAGAACTCAGTCCCAGTGTCATCAAGACAGAACCAACTCCTAGCTCACCCTCCTCCAGTGAGTCCTCGGGGGCTGTAAACTACACAGGACGAGCCTGCCTGTCATTCGCCATGGAGCAGCCGGTGGATTGGAATCCCTAGCCTTTGGGCTGGCACGGCAACTCCTTATCCACTAGGGCCTATTTTAAATTCATTAACTGATTTAGGACTGGGCCAGGTCAAAGCATCTAGCGTCTATTTACATTGTTGAAACATTGAAATTCCTCGGTCATGCAAAGATATGATTAAAAACCAGCCAGACAACCAGTGACTACAGGTGTCAAAGGTATGTGAGAGCCCTCAGGTCCTCGGGTTGAAGGGTGCTCCATACACAGAAGGGTCCTCATCTTCTCTAAGACGACACAAACATTAAAAATAAAAGTGTGGTCAAGCGTAAGAAATCCTGCAAGAGGAGGCAAGCCAGTCCTGTATTCAATGACGTTTCACTGAGCACTTTCACGGGCCACTTGCCCCAACAACCCCCAGCCTCACGACGTCCATTGCCCAAAGCACCGAGCCCTCTGGAACCCAATTCTGAGCACGCACGACCTCCCTCTGCTTCCTACGCTAGAGTGGTTCTTACCTCACCTACAGAGGCTCATAACATCACCTCCTCTAGCCCTTCTCCTTGTTCCCTGGATAAACACCGTGATTCTGGACCTGTGTTTCCCATCCTGTGGTTTCACCAGGCCCTCATCAGGGAGATGTAAATCTCTCACCAGCATGGGGGATGGTGTTTTAGGATTCTAGGGGTGTTTGGGGAAGGGTGCTGTACGTAAAAGCGCCACAGCACTGTCATCCTTCGCGTGTTAATGCTCAGACAGATTTGGAAAAGTGCTGAGAGCCACCTAGTAGGTACTTCATGCCCTGCAGAGGCAGGTGGACATCTTCATACTAGCCATTCCGGCTGGGAATTTTGAGAGACCAGATACTCTTCTGATTCACAGTTCCTGCAGCTCTGCTCACGGTGCTCTGTAGAGCCAGCCCTTGGAATCTGATTGTCAGTATCTTCTACCAATAGATCATGCATTTATATAGTGCTCTTTTTTCTTTAAAGAATATATATACCTATA